CTTCTATAAACTGCCTAAATGCTTCTTGTTTGCATTACATAACCTAGCGTTTCTTGTTTATATAAATTTTTTTCAAGACAATTTGTATTGATATTTTACTTTGCTGGCTGGTTTTGTTTACAAATCTTTTTCCTAAATAAGCATTTATTTGTATAATAGTTATGTAATTTCACCTGTAAATCATGAAAAACTTATTTAATTATTATTAAAGTGCCAAAGAAGATACGATTTAAATAACCAATGTTTAAAGGAAATCAGTATACCAAAAGTCATATAGATTTAACATTAACAACAACAGCTGAAACTCAATATGAAAAAAACTGTGCTAGTTCTCTGAAAATTAAAGCGTGTCAAAAGTTAGAGACTAAAATTACTACAGATGATTTTAATTTTATTATGAATTTTGACATTTTAAAAGGAGTTATTGAAAAATTCATATAGTGGCAATGTGGTTATTGATAAAAATGAATGTATTGGACATGTACAAAGGCGAATGGGTACAGGAATTTGCGACAGGAAAAAAAAGGTGTTAATTTATCTGACAATAAAAAAATTATGGAAAAGGTAGACTCACCGTAAAGCTGTAAATACACTTCAGAACTACTATGGAATGGCTATTCGACAAAACTGCGACAATATTTATGTTATGAAAAAATGCATTTGGGCTGTTCTTTACCATAATTTAGACATAACCGACCCGGTTTAGCCACATAAGTTTTGTCCAAGGAGTGATACAAGTTGGTGTATATGGCAAGCAGACCAAGTTACAGGTCAAAACCGATATAAAGTAAAATTGAGTCTACCTGTAGCCATATGTGCTTTGATTAAGCCAATATTTATTGACTTATGTGCCGATAGTTTGTTAACTAAGTGTTTGCATGGTGGAACCCAAAACAATAACAAATCAATAAACAATGCTATATGGAAAAAGTGCCCAAAACAAACTTATGTTAGTAAAACAATACTTGAAATAGGTGTATCATTTGCAGTTTTAGAGTTTAATGAAGGAACAGCTGCAAGTGTAAAACTTGGCATTCATACTGGAAAGTACATGAATAAAGCTATGAACGTATCGAATGCGACGCACATAAGTAATGCATAAAAAAAAACTAGCAAACAAAGACTTGCAAGAAAAAAAAACTTAGAGCTATAAAAAAAGGTTTCTCTGATAAAGAAAAGGAAACAGAACAAGTAGATTCCTATATATCTGGAGTATATTAGTTTTTTTTAGCAAAAAGTTAGTTATATTTGAAAACATATTTTTTTAACGATCATTTTCTCTGTATTTAAATTTTCATACTTGGTACAAAGATATCTCGAGTTCTAAATGTCAAATTGACTTAAAATTTTCAGAGTATGTTCAATGCACTAGTGCCAACAAAATGTACCAAAATCAGCATATTTCTGCAAGGTCAAAGCAAGTTATGAATAGTGAAGTCCATTTTTTTATCATAAATTTTTAATACCTTAGTAAAAATACCATAACTATTTTAAAAATAATTTTTTTTTTACCATTTTAGTACATTTTGTTAACACCCATGCATGAATGCTACCTGCAAAATTTGATAACAATCGGACCATGCAATGTGGAGTTATCTATGTACCATTATGGGGTCCTTTTTTTACCTAATTATGCTAATTAATGATATTAAACTAAATTTTTTTTTTAAGAATTTTACTTATAAGGAAAAAAAGTTATTAAACAAGAAAAGTCTCTATATTGTGTTTTTTAAAGAAAATAGATTGAATGGGGATCTACCACCTTAAACCTAAACTGATGTATGAAAAATCAGCGTGATATAATTTTAATTCAATTAGTATAACTTAGCAACATCAAATATATATATATAATTTCTTATAGTTACACTTAAAAAAACGGGACGACTGAATAAGTGCGAAATGGCGTAAGTACAAAGCAGATGCAAAAACTAGCATAAATGCAAAGCAGTTATGCTAGTTACAAAAATAGGCATAAGTGTGTCAAATAAAGTTGCAAATAATAACACAAGTGCAAATTGGCATTTCGCACTTATCCCAATGTTTGCAAATTCTTTTGGCGCACTCATGCCAGTTTTTGCAACTGCTTCGCATTTATTCAACTTCCCGAAAAAACAGTTTTGTTTATTACCGAGCCCACGGTGTTATGATAATTATGCAATTCTCAAAACTACGTGTTTTCGTGATAAATTATATTTTGATTAGGGTTGTTAACCGGAGGATTTCGTGCAATTCCGGAAAAACAACATTCTTTCGTAAGGAGATTGAGAACACGGAATTACATTTTTTCGTACCGAATGTTACAAAACATTTAAAATCGCCGATGTTCATTTCGCAAAAGCCACTTCCGAAATTTAGCATTTCGCAAGTTGACATACGAAACAAAACTATTTTGCAACATACGAAAGTAGCGGTTTCGGAAGTCGCACTTGCGAAACAAACATTTTCGCCAAACGACGTTTTGAAGTCTATAAAGGAAAATTTGTTTGCCAGACTGATTTTAGTTGTAAAAATTAACATCTTTAAATCCCAAAATGTTTATAATGAATTTTTATTTTCAGTATAATAACTATTAAATTTTTATGGTTTTATTTTAAGAAATATTGATAAAAAATAAAATTTCTTTCGAAACGAAAGTATTTCGGATCACAACATACGAAAGAATTCTTAACGGAAATAAACTTACGAAACGTGCCATAATAAATATATGCAAAGATGTTTTTTGAACTCATTACGCATATTAAAAATAAGAATGATGGGTAGGAATATACATGTTTTTTTTTTAAAGCATATGAAATTTTCGAAACAGGTTCGAATATGCTTAAGCAAATAGTAAAAAGAGGTTCAAAAATATGCTTTAGCTTAAGCATATTTCTGATAAAATATACCTATTTCAATAATTTCTAAAAGTGTGCACGTTACTAAAGTTCTAGCAGATTTTAAAGGTATGTAGAGTCCTGTTTGAATACGCTTTTCGAAGTATAGATCTTAGAAAATATTGTTTTTTAATTTTAATAAGATATAAATTTAAGTATAAGATTGTATAGTTCAATCAGTTAGATACGTGACAATTCGCCGCAGAGATCCGGGTTCGCATCCCGCAGTCATTGTAACTTTTGTTCATCAAACTCTTTTTACTTAAAATAGCATTTTTTGACCTCCATGTTCAATATTACAGATCTTTCGTCACCTTCACAAAAGTGACAACCTCTCTTCTGTTAGTTATTCTTTTAAGATTGAGTTCATTGTGCTTAATTCAACACATTTCCCTTGCTTTACTAAGTTCTACTTAAATTATGATAAAATGTACGTAAAACAACTTTTTCAAATAATATAAATCATTTTGCTTTAAATCTTTTGCTTTTTGTACTAGACATCTGTCCTAAATACTTTGTAATAATTTCTAGCTAACTCTGAGTCTAATATAACCATTTCTGAATATAATTTCCCTGAGGCTCCTACAGCCTATTGTGTTCCATTAAAAGTAACTAGTTTTTGAGTCCAGATATTAATTATAAGCATCTAAAGGTTCACATTACTATTCATTTTCCTGATATATAGAATCCTATTTGCATACGTATCTCTTCTGTAAATTCTGCTTTATATAGTTTCTTAATTATATATTAAATAAATATTACTATTCACTTAGTTGAATGAACGTATAGCTCATTCAGTTAAGACATTTGGCCGCGTAGACCCAGGTTCACATCCCGCTGTTTCACATATATTTCTTCTCTTTTTACTCTTTCTGATATCATTTACCTTTAGAGAGATCTCTCGTTCTTTATAATAAAGTATTTATTTGTTTATCACACATCCTCTTTATACTTTTTAAAAAGAAAGGCATACTGTTTATCTGTTCATTGAGAGTCCAACTTAACGGGATTTTACTGTATATATATGTGTGTATATATATATATATATATATATATATATATATATATATATATATATATATATATACATATATATATATATATATATATATATATACATATATATATATATATATATTTATATATATATATATATATATATATATATATATATATATATATATATATATATATATATATATATATATATAAATATATACATATATATATACAGTAAAATCCCATTAAGTAAAATCCCGTTAATGTATATATATATATATATATATATATATATATATATATATATATATATATATATATATTAGGTATATTTGTATAAACATTTGAAGAATCTTTTGACAACATTTTTTTTTTATTTTATTATTTATTATTTAAACTGTTAACAGTTAATATCTTAAGTATATCGTAACATAAAATCTTTTGCGTCTTTTTCGTAACTACACATTCCGGAATGCTTTTTCCGTAACGAACTATTTCGTAAGTATTCTTACGAAATGATTTGTTTCGCAAGTTTTCTTTCGCAATGCTTTATTACGGAATTTTATTTACTATTTATATTTTCGTATAGCGCGTTACGGAATGTGCATTTTTGCATGTGCAACTTCCGCAATAACAATTCTATTACGGTAGATAAAAATGCGAAATTTTCGCAAGTTTTGTTTTTCGGCGAACAACCCTAATTTTGATGCTCAAAATTAGCTTAAGCAATGATAAGTGTAGAATAAATCAAATTAGTTCTCAGTATCACATAAAAAAGGCCGACCAAACAAAAAATTCAAAATTTTTTTAGAAGTGAACCACCTTATTCTTTGGTTTTTTTTCACTTAAATTTCAGTTTTAAAATTTTGTTAAAAACACTTACATTTTTAACGAGAAAGATAGTTTCTCATCATGATGGTAATTTACACCTGCTTTTTTTTCTTTCACTGTTAATATATAAGGGCGAAATTATAAAGAATATTCTTTATAATTACGCTTTCTTTAACATTTTTTGTTCTTTACCATTGTTGAGCCTTAAAGTGATCTTTATTTTTACTTTTATAAACATTTCGTTCAATTGTCAAATTCTTCTCATGATGCTTTTTTTCAACATTAATAAACAGCAAATTTCATACAAAAATTTTCTTATTTTTAGTGACCTACAATTTAAACATATTAAATTTATTGCTTCATAAAGTCTTTTTATAAAAACAATAAAATTTAATCAATTAAGTTCATTGCGCTTTAATTTAGCATTCAGAATGGCTTGCTTAAATATATCGCATAAATGACTAACTGAATCGTATGTATCATCATTAGCAGGAATGGGATAAGTTATTAACCTTGGATCACAATCTGTATCAACAATTCCGATAACAGGTATGTTGCACATAGATGCCTCTATTATTGCATCCCGTGTTTTTTCGAATCTTGAATTATTAAATGCAATTACAAGGTCGGGAAGCTTTTGTGTACCAAGTTTCAACGGAGAGTTGGTGAATAAACCTTTCTGCCACCCATGTGTAATAAAATATTCTTCACAGTCTCGAGCTGTTTTTTGAATAAGATAATCAAATCGCGGATTCATTGAGATGAATAAAATAATTCCTTGGTTGTAAACAATGTGACTAAGAACATTTAATGCACACTAAAATATATATAGAATATATATAGAAATATATATAGAATATATATAAAATATATATATATATATATATATGTAAAATATATTATATATATTTAATATTATTATTATTATTATGAATATATAGATTTAATAAATTATTACATATTTTAAAAAGAAAATGTTTGAATAAATATACTTATAGAAAATACATTTAAGCACTCGACAGTCTGGTTTAGGTCTATAATAAGCTGTGTTGAGCGTTGACCATAAATATATGGTCTTGTGAGAGGGTTCCAGGTCCCTTCGTGATGACCCAAATGTACTCGAGAATCAAATAACTTTTTCAAGTCAACAAGCTTTTTTACATCAAAAAAGTCATCCTGCTCTAATAAACTTTTTTGACCTAATATTACAAATAAGAATGGACTTAAATTAGTATCAAGCAAAAATTACTTTTATTAATAAAAGTTTATAGAAAAAACAGTTAATTATCAAACCTTGTATAGATGATATCTTTTGAGAATTCAACACAAAACCATATGACGTATGCACTTTTTTGTTTAATACTCGAGCGACTAATTATAAATGACAGAACTTGTGTTAAAAAACTAACTTATAATAAATTAATTTAAAATATTTTACTTAACCAAAAAATATATATATATATATTTATTATCAATGTATTGATAATAAATATTGATAATAAATATTATCAATGTGTTGATAATAAAATATTATCAATGTATTGATAATAAATACTTTCAATGTATTGATAATAAATAAGTATTGATAATAATTCAGTATTGATATTATTCAATTCAAAATTATTCAATTCAAAAAAGTATTTTCTAATGATTAAGAAAACACTTTATTGTATTCTTAAGTATAAACCTTATAAATCAAGTATAATTCTTAAGTATAAATCTTTAAGTCTCAGAAAAACTACAAGAAAAATAAAATAGAAATATAAAAGTTTTATCTATTGCTCTTGATATATCATAGACTTTTGATGAAGCCTAGCATTTTTTTAACATCTTCACTTCCAACAAAGCTGTAAGAACCCCCTATTAAAGTTAAAATTTAATGGAAGATGAAGTTCAAAAGGCAATGTAACGATTAACAGACAACTTAATAGATTGCAAATTATATGAATCAGGAAAACAAGATAAAAGGAGCAAATTCCAAAGAACTGATGTTCAAAGAAAAAAAACTAGATAAGTAAGAATTTTTAGAGCGCTTAGAAACAGTCACAGTAAAATGATAAGTCTTACTTTAATGATCAGTTACATGATGAGCTTTAGAGCTCTTTAAAGCAGGGCCCATTAGAGTATTTATAGAAAAAAGAGAAAGAGACGCAACATTACAATGATGTGACAAATAATCACGTTTCCAAATGTTTATTTCTGAAAAACATGGATTTTTGATGATAAAATGAAAAACTTTTTAATAAATCATCTCCAAACTGTTTACAAGATAATGAAACTTATATATAACTGACCTAATTCTTTTTTTAAAAATGTTGCTCACAAATAGAAATCCAATATTCATTTGTCTCATGTCAACTATCAAAAGTACCTTAAATATCCAATTTTACAGTCTACTATTAGCTCTGACAAACATTCTTGAAATTTCATCTTTTATATAAAAATTGAATCCAAAAAAATTATTAGATCTAAACAGCATTCGCACAAATATTCTTATAGATTTTAACTATGAATTTTCAAATATTCTTTCTAAACTATTTAATACCTCATTCATAAATGGAACATTTCTTGATATTTTGAAACAATCTTTTGTTATTCTAACATTCAAAAATGGCTCTAAACTTTTATGCACAAACTTTAGCCCTTTTTTTGTAAAAAATGTAACATTAGTAAGCTTTTTGAAAAACTTCTGCGTTCTAAAGTGTACTTTTTTCTAGACTAATTCAACTGTTTAAATAACTTTTAATTTGGTTTTTTTGATCAAAACATTACCTCTCACTTTTTTGTTATTGTTATAATTTGTTATTACTAATATTATTATCGCTATTATTATTATTATTATTATTATTATTATTATTATTATTATTACTTTTATTATCGTTGTTTAAGTTTTAATTTGTGTGTGTGAGTTGTTATGAAGGTACTCCAAGTCTTATCGTAGAGAACAGCAGAAGATTATTTAAATAGAAAGTTCACACTTCCTTCCTTGTCAAGGTTGCTTATCTAGCTGAGACCTGGCATTAAACTCTGGATCACCTGGTTCTAAACTCTAACCACTACACTAATATCATAATCTTGGTGTCACTTTTTGATGATATTATTTGATGCCTTATCTATCAGTTTTATAAAAATTAAAGCAATGAAATTAAAGCATATTTCATTTGCTTTAATTTCAAAATAGAACATAACTATTACTGGTTTAGTTAAACCAAACCATGGTTCACAAAACTTTTTTTTCAATATTTTTTTAAAGCATCAAATATAAGCAAAAGAATGTGGACACTATTTATAATTTTAGTCAAGAGCAGAGATAACTTAATGGCCTAACACTGCAAAAATGTCAGGTGCAATTTTACCCCAGATCTAATTAGAGGTGAGAAATTGAGGCTTTACCATTAAAAAACCTTAAATTATCTGCATTTAGTTTTTAATTAAAAATGCAACTTTAGCGCTCTAAAAAGGATTTAAAATTTGTTTATAAATCCGTATTTATATGTCAATATAGAATTAGTTGTAAAATGTACCATGTAAAGAATTAGTTGTAAAATGTACCATGTCTCATTTTGTTTATTAAACATTGCTATTAATGCTAATTATTTAAATTTAATTTTTTTTTTTTTCTTTTAATGTAAACGCCACAAAAAGTACAAGAATTATCCACGTTAGATATTAAACAGTAATTTCTACGTCTTAAAGATATACAGAAAAAAAAAACATAAATGGATGAAAGTAATATTTAAATTAAATCTTATTATGAACTGCTGAACTTTCAAGAAAATAGTAAAATGGTTTAAAATTGAATAAAAAAATCATATCCACAAGTAAAAAGATAAAGAAATATATCTGTTATGTGTGTGTATATATATATATATATATATATATATATATATATATATATATATATATATATATATATATATATATATATATATATATATATATATATATATATATATATATATATATATATATATATATATATATATATTAAATCTTGGAAATAATTATAGGAACATTAATTACCTTGCCGCGAAAAAAGTTTCAGTGATGTTTTACAACTCATTTGTATTCATTCCTAGAACGCTTCAAAGATTTGTAAAATAATTAAAATCCAGAACACCGCATCTTTGTAACATCGTCTAAATACTTATTTGTATATATATTTTCCGTAATAAAACACGAGGTCTTCCATAATGCCGGTTTGTCCAATTATTTCTTTAAAAATTTAAGACTGCCTCCGAGCAATCTTCAAAATTGATTCTTCAAATTCAAGAGCAGCTACTTTATAAACTTTACATTTAAGTAAACAATACTTAAAAAAAAATTGCCGCAAAATAAACAATATTTTTTCAAACAAAAAATGGAATCACTTACGCGAGCTCTGGTACGAGGTGGATTAATTTTGGATTTACTGTAATATAATTTTGGATGGTTTGACTCATATTTTGTTGTCTATAAATGCACCAATAGTACTCTTTCGAGTATAAAATTTACGACACTTCTAATTTATTTATTTATTCTTTTTATCACCCAAATTACAGGTAAAAAAACAAATTGTATAAAACTAATAGTTTATACTTTCAGTGTAAAAAATTTAAATTTTTCTTGGGATGTTTTTCTCCATCAACTTAGTAAATACCAGTCTTTGTTCTCTGATATTCCAGAATTCAAAAGAATGGTTCAAAATTGCCGCTATATTTTCTCCTACGTCACCTTAGCAACGTTTTACCGTTATTTTTTTCCCCTCTATCAAACACTGCACGAAGTTTAACTCAAGTTGATTGCAAATTTTTATTACTTCGTTGATAAATAGGTTATCTTTAGTAACATCAGATATCTGAGCCAAAATCAGGGAAAAACAAGTTGGATTGTTCAGTAGTCTGATAAACAGATTTAATTTATTTCGAATGAGGATGGTAGATGTCATCAATTTTAAAGAAGGGATGCAGGTAGTTTTTGCTGTACTTCGATATACTAAATAGGAATTTTAATGCTGACCTTCCAACAGCGTCTAGTTTATTAAGAAGTGAATAATTATAACAACAAATTTCTAAGCCGTATGATAAATTCGGTACAGCCAGTGATTTGAACAAGTGTACTATGGTTAATGGTTGACAAAAACGAATACCCGGTTTTATAAGAGCTCTGGATATTGATTGAAACTGAATAATACGTTCGTTTACATTTAATGTTTGAAGTGTTGCTATATTTTTTGTATTATTTTGATTATCCCATAGGAATCCGAGGTGTTTCAAATTATTCTTTTGGTGTATGGAAAAGCCGTATATTTGAATTTAATTTTTTGTAATTGAGCTTTTACCGGATATAATAAACTCGGTTTTTTCAGTGTTTAGTTTGATATATAGGTTTTGGCATTGTGACTGAACTTTAGTAACCAATTCTTGTAAACCAGACAGACTAGGACTTAGTAGGATTATATCGTCTGCATAAGCTATAATACCGGTGTACACCCCACTTATCGTTGTTCCAACTTTGCAATCTGAAACAATTTGATTTAATATACTTTGAGTGTATAAATTATATAAATGTGGTGATAAAATGGATCCTTATCGCACGCCTTGAGACAAACGGAAATGATTTTATTTATGCCCAAGGTATGATATACTAGCAGTACCCGATAGGTATAGTGATTGTAGTGCGCGAACTACTGATAGCGATAATTTTTTGTTGTAATAAAGTTTTTCAAACAACAATTCCCAGTTACAGCTATCGAAAGCCTTATTTGCACCTAAACTACAAATATATATTGATGAATTATTGTTATAGTAATATTTTATTGTTTCACTTAAAAGAAACTCTGCATGAAGAGTGGAGCTATTATGTTTGAAGCCAAATTGGTGAGAGTGGCTATCTGATATTTCCGGACATTTTTCCATAATAATATATTCAAAGAGCTTTGTCAGAATTGGCACGATACTAATTCCACGATAGTTATCGAGATTTTAAGAGATTTTTTATAGGATTTCACTATTGGAGCAATTATAGATGTTGATAGGTACTCCGGCACCGCTCCATTATTAAAGATAATGTTATAAAACTTTGAAAGCCATGTAAGTAGGTTGTTGTTATAGGAGTATTTAAGATGTTCTGCAGTAATTCCACAGGAGTCACGTGATCTATTAGATCTAAGCTTAAGAATACAAGTTTCGATGTCGGAAGTTGATACAAGAATTTTATTAGGCTCATCAATGAGTTGTGGAATACGACGGTGTTTGTTGTTGTTGTTGGTAATTGTGGGAGTGTTGAGAATGGTACTAAAGTTTTGTCTAAATTCTTCTGCAATTTCTTTTTTAACTTGTTTTTTATTAATAGTAAAAATACGAGTGTTAGGATTTAATTTAAATTTTTGGATATTGTTTCAAAACTTTTGTGGCTTACTTTTTCGAAGAGATTCAATATTTTTGGTGATTTTATTAATTTTTAAGTTGTGAGCCGCTTTTACAATTTTGCGGAAATTTTTTCGAGCTAGCTTGTACTTGTTAAATGAACTGCATTCCTGCGATCTACTAAAGTTATTTTTTTTCCATTCTTAAAAGTGGAAAGAGAGAATATCTTTGCACAATTTAATTTCTGGTGCCTACCATGATTTAGAGTAAGCTCCTGATTCTTTTTGTGGAAAACAGTCTTTCATTGCTAAAATAGCAGCGTTGTTTATTTTTTCACATGTTGTTTGAGATTGTTTCTCTATTTCTTCTCCAATAAAAGTGTAATCTTTGAAAAAATCGGAGAGATTCTGATTATAAATTTTAATAAAGTTATTATCATTCCATGCATACCTTGGGATTGTATTATATTTTTTAAGAATACTATTTACAACTGGTGTTAGACTTTTATTTTGAAGATAAGTATTTGTAGTGATGAGTAAGTGATCGCTCATGTTTATATGCGAAGGAGGAATAACATGGCAGCCAGTAAAGCATATTGATGATTCTTTTAGTATTGCAATGTGATCGATATAAGATGAATTATTTAGCGTTTTATGTTTATAGGTATAGGTTGGACCAGTACCATTAATTATGTCCAAAAAAAAGAGCTCATTTAATTCAAGAAAATTGGATAAATACTTAAAAAAGTTATTTCGTGTTTTATTGTTTCGGATTTTCGTATCGTATATATTTTCTGAAAATGAATGAAAGTTGCCTGCAATTATACATTCTCCTTCATCTTCATATGTGTTAATGATGGAGTTTATCAAACTAAGTTGAGACATATATTTTTCTAAGGATTCAGAAGTATTTTTGCATGAAGTAAGATAAACTCCAATAAAAATAAAAACACTGTCGCCAAATGAACCTTTTATTGCAAGAATGTGTTCATCTTCGTGTATTACTTGAAGAGACAACGGTAAGCTTTTACGAATTAAAAAAGCATTTCCCCCAAAAGGTCTTCCGTATTCTTTTTTTTCGGCACAGTGAAAAAATAATTGATGTGTTGGAGCTGCTAGATCATTTAAAATGAAACGCTCAGCATTTGAAAGCCAATGCTCGGATATAAAAATTATATCGAAGGAGTTAATCAAGGTAGAGATATAACAGGTGTTTAATTTAATTCTTTTTTTTTTTTGTATGTATTTAGGTGCTCCCAGAAGTCCTTACGGTCTTATCATAGAGCACCGCGGGAAAGCATTTAACGGGAAGTTCACGCCTCCTTCCGTACCAATGTTGCTTGTTGTGCTAGAGCTGGCGTTGAACCTCGGACCTCTGGGTTCTGAGCCCACTGCGCCACGGCTGCTTATACTTTGACAATTATATGCACAGAAACTAAAAGTAAAAGTTTTTAAATTTATTGTGCGTTTACCCATTGTGATTTCGGATTTAGATATAGGACACGAGCTGCATATTTTTGATGTTCATCTTCAGATTGACTTTTTGTTATTGACTGCGATATGGACGGTATATTGTTATTATTTTGAGGCATTACTGAATTTATTATTAATGAATTGTCACAGAATTAAATATCTGACCATTCAGATATTCAAAAAATCCTTCATTTCTACCAACACTAGAATCAATTAAAGTCTTCATTCCTTGATCATCAACAACAGTTTTACTTGCTGTTAAAAGTTTACTACAAACAAAACAAATTTGCGATACTTTGAAAAAATGTATTAGGCAGTACAAATTGTAATAAGTTAATGGGCCATTAGGGAGTTGGGACTAGATCCGTTTAAATTGAATCAAGGTTTCGTTAAACGTTTCGACCCAACACTATTCGTTGCGTTTCAACCCAAATCCCACCGGACTTAGACCCGTTAACTAAACTTGTTAAGTAAGTTACCTGATCTGTTTGGTTAAAAGTCCTGTTAGGTTTTGGACCTTTAATAACAAAACACAAACCAGGTTCAAACTGATCGGGTCTGGGTCTAGATCATTTTATTACTAATTAGAAATATTGTTTAATAACCGCACATATTCACCGCAAAAGAATGTAAACTCATAATAAGTCTTAGTTTAAAAAGGAAAACTTAGTTTTAAAAAATCATGCAAAAAAATATTTGTTAATTATCTTTATTAGCGAGATTCGTAAATATGTTTTTGGAAAAAAAAAGTTATAAAATATTAATAAAAAATAAAACCTAAATTAAATTAATCCTTTAATAATATTAATAAGTTTCTTTTTTGTTATAGGGTCAAATCAATATATTTCAACCAATGGCCTGTAGGTCACCATCTTTTATTTTCCTGATTTTTTCATATTGTTATGTACATTATGTAGATAGGTTAAATTTGAAATTTCAGACTTCCAAGTACAACGGTTTAAAAATTATAGCCTAAAAAACGGGAAACAGTAGCCCCCCTCGATTTACAAATGGTCAAAAGAGACAACCTTAAAGCTGTATAACTTTTTTCTCACTTTCAACAAGTGTCTCATTTTTCTAGAACTATTTTCTGGATAGTTTTCTCTTTAAAAAAGTGGTTTTTATTAACTTGTATTAAATTAGAGAAAAATTGCTAAAATATGCTAAAATGAAACTAACTGTAGCATTTTTCTATTCATCCACAAGTCTTTACAGATAAGTTTTCATATTAGCTTCTACTATCTGAAATAAATTGGCAAAATATAGGCAGCTTGTTACAGTTGTAACTCAAATATATCTCAAAGCAAAATGTCTATTCACCTAATAAATCAAATTTTTAGAAACCCCCACCCCCTAAGGTG